CTCCACAGGTACCGGAAATCGGTATCCCTCGCGGCTGCAGCGACGGCGGCCGTCTTCCCGCGCTTGGTCGATCGGATGCGCGCCATTCGGCAATTTCTAGAATGACACGCAAACGGTCTTCCAATGTATCCCACGTGTCGCATTCTCCGTACCTCCTTCCCGCTGCTAAGTTTTTGTGCACTGCTCATTTGGTCTCTCGCATCTTATATAGTTGAATATATCTTGGATAAACTATTGTCAATAGAGTTTTCTAATGTCACCCCCGCTATGTCGTAACTTACGACATAGCGGATTTCGTATGGCGTAAGTTATGACGTCGGGAACCAGGGGGTTAACATTCAGCACATTCAGGTTACATTTCATGTGAGCCACACCAACCGGGTTACGCAGTACCGTGGAATTAATCCGGTGTGGGCTGTCCATACCTAAAGGTATTCCCAGAATAATATAATCTAGTATCTAATATTTTTCAAATTTCCGAGTTAATATTAAACTATTACGTTAGCTTTTAAAAAACTGAGATACTTTTAATATTTGATATCAAAAATAGTACTATTAATATCAAAAGTATCATATGATATTTGGTTGCCATTAGCCCCTGGTCACAATACGTGTACATGATAATATTGTGAATTCCGCCTAAATTTGGAGACCCGAGCCGATTGGTCAAACCCAGCATCCGCAACGTGATTGGTCAAATCAAGTTGCAGTTGATAGTAACGGCAACCAGCGCGCACTTGCGGTGAAGACTCTTCTGATAAAGCAGCACGACGGTGTAGAGGGAACCGCTAGCGTCCGCACTTGCTCAGGTAGATAGTTAAAAGATATCTGCATAATAATTATGCTAAGAAATATCACGCCGCTTCTGCTATAAGGCGATTAAACTCACCTGGTTGATGGACTATTAATGTATGTCGTTTTGAGTCGAGAAAAGAATGGAGAATGCAGTACTGAAGCAACACGCACATCCTAGCACAGTACTACACTGTCTCTACGGATACTACAATCTTAGATAATCTCGAAAAGAGCTTGCCTGTGTGTACAACAGGTCAGAGACCACGCTTGGCAGCTGGATTTGTGTCTATGAGAGTACAGAAACATTTGAGAGAGCTAAAACAGTGGCTGACAAGAAGTTTTCTTCCGATCATCGAGAATGGCTGTGTGATTTCTATGGTTGACATCCCCTTGCATACCTAGACGAAGCTCAGGATGTCTTCATGCGTTTCACTGCACGTCCTTTCACACGGTGCCAAAACTCCACCCAAAGCTTGTGTATTATTCCCTTAAACGTCGATCTATTAACAGCAAAGTTCTCTAAAGAATCGCCTGATGAATTGCGCTGACTAACCGTAGTTTTTACGATGGGCTGAGTAACTAGCTGAAAGATTGATGACGTGGTGTCTGACGGCGTCACCAGCGACTGTACCTGTGTGGGAACTGGAGACGATGAATAACGGGAGATAGAACTCGCTGAGGGTGGTGTGGGGGACATTGTAGCAGAATGTCGAGATGCTGATCCTGGCGGAGGCGTTGACCGTCGGACTAGTGCTGCTGTTGTGACTCGAGAAGGCGTCGGGCGTCGAGGCGGCGCTGAAATTTGAAGAAGACGGCGAGTGTTCAGCCGGCGCAGGAGCCGGAGCCAAAGGTGGAGCAGGGGTGGCGTCAAGTGCCGGGCTGCAGCTTGTGTCGTGGGGGAAACTTCCGGCGTATAGTGAAGTGAAGCCCGACGACGAGAACCCCCTGGCTGGAGTGGAGTTGCTTGTGTAGGTGTACGAATTCGTTCAGGATATGGCGACACACATGCAGAACGTGGATGTCCGAATACGACCACCACCGCTATGCATACAAGCAGAAGTTGCTGTCTGTAGTGGAGAGCGTCGCGGAGTCCGGCTCAATATTCTTACCGTATTTCGCATGTAGACCGATACACCCCATGTTATGAGGGATAGGTTCCCCTTCAACAATGATCTTAAAAGCTACAGAAACAAAATCTGTATATTTAGACAGCTGTCTCTTCGATGAAGTAAACAAATCTCTATTTTTAGACATTTGTCTCTGCGATGATGTCCTGAACGGCGAAGTCATCACTTTCTTCTACCGGTTTCCCTTCTAGTAGCGAGAGTTTTTCGAGTTGGGTCACCAACTGACTCGACGCAATGCAGCTCGCACTCGGCTCCAGCTTACCTCGCTTGAACCCATTAGAAATTGAAGTAGCAGAGTGATCTTCACGCATGCAGAATCCAGTCACATACCAGGATCCTGTTGGGTCGACGCAGCTTTAATGTTGTGCCAGCAGCTCATCGACATCCGCTGGCTGCGAGACAGCGGTCGCGCTCTTCGGCACTTTCATTTGCACTACGTAGATTGCTTTTGTACGATGCGGCGGCTAGATTAGGATAGAAGTGAGAAATGGTGGCTCGCATAGCTTCCGTCGTCTTTAACATCACTAGAACCGCGAGCTTCTTGTCGACTGATTCAGCATTGAGCTTGTATTGCTACACGTGGCGGCCACGTCCTCCTCGTCGGGGTTTCCCTTTTGGCTTGACACGAACCATTCGCTTGTGGTGAAATTTCAGAAATTTGATAGTCATTATTTTATTTTAGTTTCGTGTATCACTTGACATGCGATTTCCTGGGATCTCAGTTCTAATAAATGATTCGCTGCTGGGGTGTATCGCTCTAGTAGCGGTATCGGTCTACATGCGAAATACGGTACTGGCTTAGATGTTGCCGTTTGCTGCAGACGGAAACCTCTTGAATATGAATAATCTATGCAATACGATAGGATTGGGATTTACCAATCCCCCAATCCAATTTGGAGTATCCGTCACAGACGTATTTCGGGCAGGAATTCAAGTATATTGAAGTTTGTATGCATTCGATAGGGCTTCTGACACATTTCAGGCAGCACGACTTAGCTATGGAGCACCGTGACCTCCTGACTAAGTACGATCACACAACCATTGACATTGGGAAAGAAGCTTCGCCACTTGGAGGCGTTTTCGCACGTTTAGCAGAAGGCTGGCTTGCGGGAGGCGGCTTCTTGCGCAGTTTCGACGCACCTGGATCCTTCTTGTTAGTTCGGTGAGCAGCTTGTTGCGCCTTCGCGTTGCGTTTTTCCTCCCGTTGCAGTACCAGCTGTGTTCTTGCGGTCTGATATTGTTTTTTGTCGTGCAGGTTCATTGCCGCTTGCTCTCTCTTTTCGAGTGGACCAGACTTTTTGTTGGCCTCTTTCAGCGCTTTGGCGTCCTCTTTAGCTCGAACAGCAGCTTTCATCTCCTCATAGCTCAACAAGTCGCCGCCAGAATAGTTTTCGACTACCCACTTCCCATCTTTTCGCTTCTGCGGTATTAGAGCTGTGGCTGAAGTACGCAGAAGATTGACCAAGTTAAGTCCTTCCACATCCAAATTCATTTCGCGGAGGACTCGCTTTTGGCGCTCAGTGACGGTTAACCGTCCTGAAGGAGGGGCAATCTGGCCTAGAATTATTGATAGATGTGGCATCGAATCACGGGTCACCACAGGTGCGTTACCGACAATCCCTTTCATCATTTTATCCATCGACAATGGATATATACCTGCCTTCTCAAACCCTCGTTTTGCATTTTCAGGTCGGCACGCCAACATCAACGGATCGCGGGAAATTTCAGCAATGTTGTCTTTGGTTGGCAGCATGTAGTTGTGTGTCGATGGGAATCGCTTTAAAGCTGACTGGTATCGACGCTTGAACGAGCCAAACACAGACACGTCTAGAGGTTGGAGGAAGTTCGAGGTATGTGCAGGCAGCACGAAAAGATGCACGTCATGTTCTTGGCCATACTTCACAACTTCAAATTGAATGTGCGAAAAATGACCATCTAATATCAACAGTTGCGGCCGAGCAGGGGGCAATTGCTCGACGAACCACTTGAACCAATTCAAAAACAGCTTATCATTAATATTCGAGCTATGGCTCATCGCACACACCGCTCCTGGCTCCGATCCTTCCATCCAGTTTAGCTTGCGGTACGTGCCTTTAAAAATATACATGGGTGACATTCGAGCTCCGGATGCACTAATGCAGGCCATGATACTGGTATTTTCGCGGTCACTAGAGGCCTGGACGTTGGCCCGAAACCCTTTTGGGCAGATTACGCGTTCATTGCCAAGTCCCTGAGGGCAGATTCCAGTTTCATCACAGTTCAAGATGCACTCCGGCCTGTCCAGGAGATCAAACTTTGTTAACACGGCTTTCAAATTGTTGAAGTACCTCATCACAACGTTAGGAGAGGAGCTTTCAGCTCGTTTCACGTCCAACAGCTGAAAGCGACGGACGGATATCTCCCGGTGATTTTGGATCCATCGCGTTATGTACTTGTCATTGGGGAATTCATCAGTCAATGGACGGGTGCCAGTCTCCTCTGCTGCCCGGCGCAGCATGCACCGCAGCTCGTCAAAACTAATGCACATACCATGAAGCGCTCGAAAAACGATAATTTCTACCAGCCCTCTGTCACCACCCTCCGAAATGTAAACAAGTTGAGGTCCAGGACGCGCCACAATTGGCACTAGGCCTAGATGGCGCTGGCGAAGTGATTCGCGCGATACACCGTATGTCTTTGCCGCTAAGCTCAGTGACATTCCGTCGTTTACCGCTGCAAGCGCTGCTGTCCAGGTGTGGATTGAGACTGTTTGTCGCTTGACCTTCTTCTTCTGCTTCTTCACAGGCTTGTTCATGATGAGGGTTTTGAGGAAGTTTTCTCTTGGTCGGTGTGTTGGCTAGTGAGATCGTTCGAAAGAAGATTTTCGCGCCTTTTTAGCCAACGGTACGCGTGCTATACAAGGTGAGTAGTCTTTAATAAAAGAGAGGATTGAAATTGAACCTCCTTTCTCCTTATTGACTAGACTTTGTATGTGAGGACCCCTTGCCCGAAATATGTCCTCGCCCGAAATATGTGATAGAACACACAATAACACATGACAAGCTTCGATAACTCCCATTAAATACGATTTTATCCATTACCCCCACTCCGAAATGCAGCGGCTTGTAGGGGCCAGCCGCCGTTGCGTACCGGTGCGTCCGTCAGGCCTCACCGCCGCCGTGTCCACTTCATGGGCATCTTCCACCACATCACCCTGTCCTTTAGACAGTCGACGTCACTACGCGAGTGCGAAGCCGTTGCCGTCGCCGTCTCGCATGAAAGTGGCGGACCTCTTGGAAGTGTCCAAGCAGTTCCGCAGTAAACAGACCAACTATATCCACGAGGATCAGACGCTAGACGAAGCCGTAAAGTATCTGGCACAGAACGAGAACTCGGCCACACTCGTTGTAGTCAATACTCAACACCAAGTGGTGGGGCTTATCACCAACAGACTGGCGCTGCAGCGAGTGATGCGGATGCGCTCTACCGGCAAGCGATCAGACTGGAACATGAAGGTAGAGCGACGTAGTATATGGTTCGACTTGAAGAAAGCGTGTCTGCGCAGAGGATACTAACGGATCGTGCTGTCCCAGGTGTCGGAGGTGGCGATTCCAGCGAGAAAAGTGCTGCATGTATCGCCCGAAGACTCCCTAGAAGACGTAAGTAGCAGGTAGAACAGGATCTTAAAGGTAGAGCAGGATTTTGATTGGTAGGCTGGCTAACTGGCGTTATTTTTTTATTAGTGTCGAGCAGTGATGGCGTTGTCAGGAGTGGGGGAGCTACCAGTGTTGCAAGGGAGTAAGCTACTGGGTACTGTCTCCTTAACAGACATTGCATCGTTGATCCATCGCCATGACGCGCAGCTAAACCCGGATCCTACAAGGTAAACAATCGGCGTTATTTAACGACGTTATTTTACGCTGAATCTAACGGACGTTTTATTAGTGCCAAGTCGGACTACATCAACTTGATCCTACCGCGCAAGGGCCTGCCTGCCAACACGTTACTGGACCAAACTGTCGTGAAACAGTACGTACAGCTATAACTTACCTTGTATCACGGTAATTTATCTAACAAGATAAATTACTCGCAGTGCTACCACCCACCCCAACTACTGGACGTACTACCTTCATTCCTTCGGCATGTCCATCCCCCACCCTCAGAAGAAAGATACAGGCGGAGAAGACGCGTTCTTCCTGGGTGTCGTCCCACACGGCGTGGAAGAAGGCGGCGCCTCGGCTCCAGTCCTGGAAGACCGTCCTATTGACATCGATCCGTCCATTCCGACCGTAACACACGGCACTCAGGGGCCCGTGGACGTCCTAGCAATGGGCGTCGCTGACGGTGTCGGCTCGTGGTTCGAGAAAGGTGTGAGTGCTCGTCAATACGCCGAGGAGCTCATGGTCGCCGCCCACCAAGCTGTGCAGATCTCGTACGCTAAAGACGACGACATTGAGCCGTCCGAAGTTCTGCATGCTGCGTGGTCTACTGTCCTTCAAAGAGAGATCGTGGGGAGCTCCACTGCGTGTGTGCTGGCTCTAGATCCGGAACTAGGAGAACTCCACGGCGTCAACTTGGGGGACTCTGGCTTCCTCATTATCCGCGATAAAACATCGGATCTGGAGACTGCGCGCTTGCGAGGCACCTTGGACGGCTCGCTCATGCGTAAGATCATCAACCGCGACCACGACTTGACTCCGGCTGGACGTCGGAAAGGAGCACACGTCACGTACCGTTCTCCTCAACAACTACACTACTTCAACTGCCCTTTCCAGCTAGGTTTCGCTGGCGCTGAACTTGTGAGTGACGTCGTGGACGACTTGGCTAAGGGCACGCACTCTCCGATGAAAGAAAAGCCCCTCTTTGAGACCCCAGAGAACGGCATGCGACTGCGAGTGCCGGTGCTGGAAGGAGACCTCATTATTCTGGCCACGGACGGTCTTTTCGACAATGTGGACGAGGATGTTTTACTGGAAATTGTACGAGCCGAGCCCGATCTCGAGACGATGTGTCGGAAATTGGTCCGGAAAGCGTACGAGTTGTCTCTTGATCGATCCAAAGACTCGCCTTTTGCGCGTCTGGCCAAGGAGAACGACTTGTTGTGGGGTGGAGGGATCCCAGACGACATCACGATCATCACGGCTCGAGTCTCGAAGCACAAGACCACGGAGGAGAAGAATGCGGAAGCTGCTGCAGTCGCAGCAGTGATTGAAGCTCATTTGTAGTGAAAACCTGTGAAAAGTTATAAAAACAATAACATAAAAGAATACGAGACTTTTGATAATGAGTAAAAAAAAATCAAAAAAGTGTGCGGTACACAGCTCACGTCGAGTCCTTGTCTACGTCTTCTGTTTCTTCTTCTTCTTCTTCGTTCTCTTCTTCCGAGATGACGACAATGTCGTCGGTACTATCCGGTTTTTCTTCTTCATCGTCGTCTTCTTCTTCGTATCCTTCGTTCTCGTCTTCGTCCTCTTCGTCGTCATCCAGCTCCACCGGCGCGGCAGCGGACGTTCCTCTTAGATACAAATCTCTCACTCGGATAGCGTCTCGCATAAGAGACAGGACCGAGTCCTGGGCACACGCGTCCACTAAAATGGCGTCTCGAGCGTCTTCGTGGCCGTAAAATAACTCCTCCCCGTATTTTTCAAGCGCAGTCAGACATAATTTACTGCGTGCAGAGTCGTCCAACTGCAGTAAAAGTTGTCGGGCTTCTCTTTGGTTCTGAGCGCGAGCGATGGCTCTCGCGGTCTCGTGTTCATCCCCATCTTCGTCCTCGTCGTCTTCGTATTGGCCACTGTATGTCTGATACGTAGCAGGGGTAGATTCCTCCTCTGCATCGTCCTCGCCGACGTCCACAATGTCAATTTCGTTGTTCTGAGACGTCGGAGGTTCACTCTCGTCGGCATCTTCTTCTTCGTCGTCGTCTTCTTCTTCTGGAGGCGCTAGATCCTCGCTATCTTGGTTGTTTTCAATATTAAGATCGTTGCTCTCCATATCGGAGCTGTTTGTGGCCATGTTCAGGTTCTCGTCGTCCAAATCTGGGTTGTTGTCGCCATTTTCTAAGCCTAGAGCGAGATCTGCGTCCATATCTTCCTCTTGTTGCGGAAATTCCTCGTTGTCGTCGACATCGGGCAGCTCTGCGTCGAGAATTTTGCTCTTTTTAGCCACTGGAGACTCCAGAACGTCGTCTAGTGTCGTCTCGCTGTCCTTTAGGTCTTCCACGCTGTCGCCTTCAAAGGCGTCAGCAGCGGAGCGTTTTCCCGATCCAGGGGAAGAAATAGACGCAGATAAATAGCTGGGAAGATTTTCGACATCTCTAGCTACAGATGAAGCGCTTGCGGAGGCGCTCGAAGGCTCTGTCATGGGAGATATGGACGCGCTAAGACAGGGAAATTACGCGGCGATTGCTCCTGCTTTTGATTCGACACGTTAGAAACAATATCGTACTTAATGGAGAGGAGAACACGAGCTGAGATTGGCTGTAAATGCCACCCAGCCCCTTAAGTTGGAATTATAAGTGGGAATTATCTTTTAATTTTATTGGAATCACATTCACGGTAGCGGACTTGAAAAATGTCAATAAAATCACCCCGTCGCAAAATCATATATGAATACTAAAGTAAACCACGCGATCGTGGTCGTCAAGAGCGATGATTTCACAGTTTACTACAGGAACTCTGTAAAGATTACGGAATTTACTACGAAGCGTCAAAGAGTGTTCACCAAAGCTCGCAAGTAATGACAAAGTCCGGTTAGCCCTGTCAATCCGAAAGCAATCTTTTTGTTCCAATGTCCAGCTACGATAAAGTAAATACCGAAGTCCGCATTTGGCTGACAAATTGCATGCAATACCCTGCAAAGCCAAGAAAATGTTTACGCGTCCAACGACCGACTGGGCCAGCTCGCCCATGTCTAATCCAAAGCCTGAAAATCTACTACTAGTATCTCGGGTGCGCTAAGAACTCTGATGTCAACTACGGTAGTAACCGCAGTGGTTTTGTAGCAAATTCCGTACTGCTAGTAAGTCCACCGACTTGCGGTTCGTTAATAACTATTTCAATGTCCAAATCGGTGCGTATCCTAAATGGCAAACCCGAGCGCATAATACCGATAGGATCAATAAAGCACCCGTCCGCATTTTATGTCGAGTTGATCATCCCCCGCGCCTCCCCCCCAGTTATTATGGATATATTTGACGGAGCCGGTGCCTTTTTGTGGTTACGGTAACATGCGATAAAACGTGATCTTTACAGTGTCGGCACTAATTAGAAGAACTGAACTTTTTTTTAGATTTTGACCTGATCAAAATCGAGTCTTTTTGTAAAAATCGGGCCAAAATTAGCAAGTCGACAAAATTTACGCCCTGGCGGATTTTGTACTGTACTATAAGAAACAATAACGACTTAAGCGAAATTAGTCTACTCTTGCACAAAGTTAGGTGTCCAAAAAAACTGACGCAGTTCAACGTAATTCGGCGCTATAGATGAAGAGTTAACGCCCCGAGCGCTTCAAATAGAAGTTGGCTCGAAAACGCAACTTGACTCTCTTTCTAAGGCTTTCCTGGCTACTTCAAAGTGACTAAAAAGCCATTACGTTGGTTTAGTGGTACGCTACAGGTAGTCTGGCTTATTTCTTCTCTCGTAAAAGAGCATGGTTTTGGCGAAGTGATCGCAGCTTACAACTAATACCAACGTTGCCAATATAGTACACTTGGTTTTAGTAATGAATGGAGTTGATGAGAAGGTTATTTATGAATTGAGCCGCCCCTGGGTAGATACTGTACCGAGGACTGGGGAGCTTGTTTTCTCTCAGACAAATATCCCTATAATAACAAGTATTTTTTTGCTTCTACATGTCTAAATCGAATGGTTTACTCTTGGTGCGCAGCCGTGTAGTTGTAGTAAATGGTTTTCTCGAAATCGGCGTGGCAGTACGGAAATTGGGCGTCGTTCTCCGTGGGAGCGAACAGCGCCTTGCCAGCAGTGTACGTAACGTAGCAACCCAAGAAAGAACACGCAACGAGAACAACACCAGCCGCTGCCTTCTCGTAGATAGCAATGCGCCCCCAAGCCTTGATGAGGTAGAAGGTGGTTGGCAACAAGATGCAGCTCATGGTGATACAGGAGGCCCCCACGAAGTCAGCGAACTCGGTGAAGTGATCCTTGACGACAATAGCAAGGACCACTAGGATAGTGATGATGACGATACGCAGAGAGACGTACTTAATGGTGACGCCTGTGCCGATATATTCTGCAGCCTCCTCTTCTTCGTTGTCATGCACACGCTCCGAGTCCGCCACCGACACATACGACGTCTTAGAACGCCGATTCGATGGCTGTCCCGAGCTGTTCGAGACACTGAGGTCCGCGCTTTTTGCATCAATAGCAGCGGGGGTAACGTTCTCCTCGAAAGCGAAGCCGTTCTCAGTATCGACGATCGACTTCTTGTGCATACCGAGAACTACAAATTCGGCGAGGTAGAATGCCGGGTTCAGGACGACAGAGAAAGCGATCGATATATAAAACTGCATGAAAATGTAGGCAAGCACCACCATGCCCCAGTCCGACGCGAATCCCAAAGAGGTTAGACCCGTATCGCTATCGGGGTAGATCGTAAACAACAAGTTGCCCGAGATCTGACAGCCGACAACCGAGTACGCAGTACTGGCGAGGACAAGAAAGAGTGCAGAGGCGAACGCGACAGTGATACCGACAACACGAGGCATACGACGAGGGTCGCTGTGTTGACGCTGCAGGTCGGGGATAACGATACCAGCACCGTAAGCGAGGGAGAGATTACCGAACACACCCGCCACTTGAGAAAACTTGAGTTCCGGGTACGGAACGCTGGGGTGGCCACGCATGCCGTGCATCACAATCCCAACACCGGTAATGTCGGCAATAATCGTCCCCACACAGCCTGCAAAAGCAGCCCCCGAACCTTCCTTTAGAGTCGGCACTAGACACACCGGTAGCACTGTCAAGGCCATGAGGATCGTCCATGTGCTCTGACTGAAAGCGTTTGGAAAGAGACCGTCAAGCAACTGGCCGCCGAGCACAAGGAAGACGCACGGCATCAAAAGACAGGAGCTCATCTGGGAGATTATGCACAGCCAGCGGCCAGTTGTACCCATACTCCATTCACCGAGGTCACCAAACGTCTTAACCGACCGGGGTGCGGATTATATCGGAGTACAAAAAGGATGATCTTCGAGTACATGCTCAAAAAGGATGGTTTGCGAGTACAAATGGGAAAAAAGGGTGGATTGGCGAGTCCATGGCTCGAAAAGGATGAGTTGCGAGTTCCCGATTACACTATTTATGGCTCACTAGGAAACGCTATTTACGGATATGTGGTGCACCCCAGTTGATGCCTGTCGCAACCAATGGCTGCCTGTGACTACTGGTGGCTGGCTGTGGCTAGCGATGGTTGGCTGTGGCTACCGGTGGCTGGTAGAGGCTGCCGGTGGTTGGTAGAGGCTTGTTGGGGCGAGTAGTGGGTTTCCTGTTGCTGCCTTGGTGTTCAGTTGTACTCTCAAAGTCGCCATGTCGGAGGCGTTCGCAGTCATCGACGATGGCGCGGGTTCCCCGCCTCCAGCCGACGAGCCCAGCTTTACCCGACTGTCGGTGCATCAATCCCACGAGGACGCGCTTCGGAAGCCCAACTGCTCTACCAGTCACTCTACCGTGTTCAAGTACTCAACAGCGAGCATGACCCGTTCGAGGTGTCTCCAAAATGGAGTGCAGACGATGTACGTACTTGATCTCATCTCGATCCCACATGGCAGCGACGGTTCTGACTGTTCTTACTCTAGATCCGAATGGTGCGTCAGTGCTATGTGTGCGATTGCTCTGAGTCACGCCAGTCAGGATGGATGTGCGAGCACATTGTCGCGACGATGGCGCTCCTCGAGAAGATCAGCATCGACGCGTTGTTGAGTGTGCTGCCAGCTCGACGACGCCCGGGAGGTCAGTTCAAATCCCGCGGCGCGCTTGCCCGCACGCGGCTCAACAAAAGCGACGCGCGGTTCTTCGGTGTCTCGCACCTGGAGTAGCTTTTCATGGAAAGCCCCGCCGCGCCAACACACTGGCACGTGACCAAGGAGTTTAGTGTGAAGAACAGGGGGCAAGTGCTACGTGAGCATGTGCCTGGACATGTCGACCGTTGGCTCGAAAATGGCGGTCGCTATCAGTGGAAGGTCAAGTTCTGAACCGGAAAAGTGGAGCTTATGGACGTGGAACAGCTCGCAGCTGCTGTCGCCTACAGTCACGCACTAGGTATGCGAGTCATCCCATAGTCTCCGGTGACACTGACCAAACTTGTCGGTTCTTGCGAATGTACTCGGTGATCCACCTTTTATGATGCCATACTCGCCAATCCACCTTTTTCCCAAATTGTACTCGCAAGTCATCCTTTTTGTGTGTGTACTCGGAGATCATCCTTTTTGTACTCGCGAGTAAGCTCCCCCCGACCGACCGCGGGGCCATCAGCATAGCCTTGGACATGGCGATCGACGAATAAGTGTTAGCGAAGGCCATGAAGACCATGGCGACCACAGCGATAAAAGGACCAGCGCGAGCAAAGTTACCGGGCATACCGAGCGTCCCGATACCGTAGATGCAGCAAAAGAGGTTGAAGCACGCCTTCATGTCTTCGCCCGTAAGGAAAGGTCCTTTCGCCATGATGAAGAAATATCTTGTGACTGTGGACTTTGAAACTGCGTCGAAGGCGGCGGGATTGAAAATGAGCTACCGCTAACCGATCGCGGCAACCTTTGTGATAGTGGTTGTCTGCTTTGTCTTGCCTTGGCTTTTATTTTGTACACTCAGTAGATTGCGAACAATTTCGCGTAGAGAAGACGAATGATTGTGCAGTCCCATTGAAGACAAGAATCAAAGCGTCAGCTGTTTATTCCTAAGTAAAGGGATAAGCGGATTTCAATCGCGGGATTTACTGTTAATAGTCAAGCCAGCAGAAAATAGTACTGCTACGACTGTTAAAAGCTAAACAAATAATAATACGAACCAGTAGCTGCCCATAACTTGGCTTATTTGCTTGCGTTTGTTCGCCGTTAAAGAGCCACCTCGTTTCTTCTTGCGAACGGGTTGTCGTACACCAGAAGCCGGGTTAGTAAGTGATTTTCGTTCGTAGGGATGCTACAGGACGTCGTCGACAGGTTTTAAAGTGAGAGAATGGCAAGAAATGCGCGTAAAAATATTGAATGGAACCGCTTCTTTTCTATGCTGGCCTTCCGGCGTCCTGTACAATTGGGACTTTCACATTGGTAAGTCCACAGTAGAAATACTTGCCAGATATTGTATTCCTTTTCACAACTGAGGCGCGAGAGGTGAAATTAACTTCAGTTTGAAATCTTCAGGAACAGCATTTTATTGTGCGTTCCAAGTCTTTGGATTACTACCGAGGGAATTTCCAGAAGTGATGGACCAGAGATTAAAATCTAATGAATTAATACTCTACTGTACCTCGAAGAAAACGGGAAAAGCATCCCATGCCGACTCTCTTATCAAAGGACTCGCCTGAAGTTGCACGAATCGATTTAACAATCGGACAGGGCTCTGTTGCTCGCAATCCTTCTGTGTTGTGAAAAAAAAAGCCGGTTAATGCGTCAAATACATGCACAGTACGATCGGGACTGAGCCTGTATGCGCAACCAACAACTAGACTCATGCTCTGCTTTTACTTCTATTTTATTAGTATTATTAAATAGCAGTGAGGAATTACCATAATCCAGTAGAAAGGCGAGTAAAAAAATTCAACTACTGTCGCCGAATTATTTTACTAAATTTAACGCACCGCACCAATATCACTCAAACGGGATTTCCTCGATACTTGAAACTACGCCTGCTGAGCAGTAAAAAAAGTGTTTGAACGTTGAAATGGATTGAGGCCGGCACTAATGGGCGATTTGCTGAAAGAACCTTACAGCTTGACGGACTTCATGAAATATGACTATATCTTGGCGAGAAAGAGGAATAGAAAAGCACATTCGGTGAGAATATTTTATCATGGGGTTTGTCGAAGAAGCTGAGCCTTTGTACATCGAGGTTTGTTAATTAATCGATTTCTTAGCTAGAAATACATTGTAGAATAACATTAATTAATTTTAATAAATGATCGACCAAAAACTATGAAATTTCTCTGACGATGATTATTTCAGAGTTCAGCAAAATGCTGAGAGATATGACTTACTGTAGCTTCCGGTACAGTATGCTATTTCACAAATTTGTTTTAGTAGCAATCATACTAGGAATGCTTTTTTCAAGCTACTTATCAGGGAAATCGCTGCATTAACTTCAAGGCTGGCTGAAGAGATTTGTGGATCGATTGCTTGCATGAAGGTAGTATCTACTTTGTGTAATTTCCTCGTTTACATTTGACTCTTATATGGGGTTTCCTTTGCAAAATCACTAAGAAAAACGAAGTATTGTCGGTAGATTACGAGCCCATAAAAAGTATGCAGTTTGTTTCACGTGCGCACCTAGGTTTCTTTAGAAGTACTAATCACCTCGGGGTACAATTCAGTACTTTTCTTTTCTACTGGATTACGGAAATTCCTTAACAATGTTGTTTGTGCTGCATCGATACGGACCAGCTGCCTATTAATTAATATTGTACTGTACCCGGTTTATTCAGAAGGCGCACATGGACACACTCAGGTACCACTACATGTATACAAAATTCTGTTGGCGAACAATGTTGGGCTTGCGAGAGAGACAGGACCTACCATTTTGCTGGCAGGCACGTTGTAAATGCAGCAAAGCCTCCGTACCTGTATGGATATTAGTTGCTCTACTGCAGTTTTCAGAGTCTCAACATAAGGAAAATGGAAGTTATTTCTGATCAATTTGTTCTGGATCTTGGGGCATAGACGTGTCCAAGTAAACAAATCACGAACAATGTTTACGCCATATACCATCGTAAACAGCCCCTGGTTGATCGAACATAGCTCTGAATTTTTTTAAATTAAAGGATATATAGCTTTATCAGTTTAAGATTACTTATCCGTGGGGCAAATTGCCACATTTAAATAATTTTGCCATTGGCAAAACAAAATAGTGCAATTCCTGCAGTAAATGATATTTTCGTTTACTCTTATAATACCATTAGATAGGAGCTCGAAAAAAAGATTGTTTCGTTTTTTCATATTCGGTGATCTTGAGGACCGGATATACATGTACTTAACCTCTCCGTTACGAGAGCAAATCTTGAAAGCACGGACTATTCTTCACATCCTTGATATTAAGCATGTTAGAAAAAGCCTTAACGTAAAATTTGTAAAGGAAAAAAAAGATCGTTGTCTGTATATTTGTACAAGATCCTGCAATCGTACGTATTATGGACCCACATGCTTTATATTCAGCATGGTGAGTAGATTCCGTAAAGCCCATACGCGACATCGTGCATGTGCAAATTGCTGTTTTATTGGGAATGATTCGTTTTTGACGGAGTCACGTGCAGAACGGCTACGAAAGAAAATTTGTGTATTGCATCTGTTAGCTAAAAACAAGTCATTTGGACTATTACTTACGCAGCTTCACTGTATCCTACTCTTGGTGCTCTCTCTACCGCGTCGTCACCCCCAGTTTCCGTTGTTTCGTTCTGACCACTATCAGAACTTTCCCCACCATCACTTCCCTCATTACCGAGCCCTGTGGCCTCCTCCTCGTTCCCCCCGCCCCCCTCCTATTCACGACCCCCTTGTCCATCCGTCCGCTGTTTTGGTGGGGCTCTCAGCTGGATACCGCGGCCGTGGCGCGGATGTGGGCGCTTGCTTCCATTGCACCAAAGTTGGTGCCAAATGGAGAAGCAAGTCTGGTTGTTATTTGGAGAATGTGCTTGGCGCACCTTGTCACACAAGTAGACACTGCATTTTACGTGTTAGATACCAGTAATAAGAAAGATAGAGCATAGCAACGTACCGTTTGGAGCCTTTACTGCAACCGGGACAAAATAATCGCGTCACCGGCCGCTGTGTTCTGTTTGCTTTCCGTATAATACAGTTCTTGCACTGCCGTTGACGCCGCTTTCGAATTCCATTCACCTTCACCCACTCGTCGTCCATCTTTAGCTGGTGGGTGGAAGGTGGAAGGTCGCCATGCAATGATGTAACTG